TCACCAAGTGGGCCATCTGAATGGCACAACGTTACCGGCCCAAAACCGACAGTCCCATGGGAACCCCACTCGCATACCCGGCCATATGACAAGGACTAGAGTTAGATCTAACTTCTTGTCCCATAGAGTATGTGCCTTATGGAACGCTGTGCCAAAAGAAGTGGCCTCAGCTACATCAGTCGACTCATTCAAACTACTACTGGATGAGTGTGTGAGCACAAATGGCTACCTACGGACATTTGTTGGTAGCAACTGATGATACGCCCTTTCATCCTTGTATTCCTCAACTCTAGTATGTGGAATAAGACTCATCTTTCCCCCATGTTATTACCGGCCACATTTATCTTTTCACAAATAGTTTTCACTGCACTTTTTCTCATTCTCTGCTCACCCTGTTTATATCACTTCTAATGTAACGCCCAACACTCACTTGCAGGTACCCACAAGAACCAGAATTACAAACGGTTGAGTGATCTTATCAGCGGCTCCGTTGCCCCCCAGAAAAAAATCTAAGCTACGATTTGCAAATGAAATACCGTCAAATACATAATCACTACCGCTGAAGCCGTAAGCAGCAAGAAGCAGAGACTTCTGTGATCATCTAGGGGGGGGTGCAACCGAACAAAAAGAACCGAGCCTCAAGACCTAGAAGCTCAAAAACTACAAGCTTCCTCCACTCACACTATTGATGTTGGATGTCAGATATGCCAGAACTGCATCAGGCTAGTGGGTAGACCTACTGTATCAAAAGATCTGAAACCCCTCCCCGAGGATTAGAAGCAAGAGCGAAGAATCAGTCGGTTCACACGAACTCGTACAAAGATATTCATGGACGCGCTATTTGAAAAGGGGAGTGACTTTTCACATTCAGCTAGATTTTTGTCATTTTTGTGTTTACACATCAAAGGCTGTTATGTTTTTGCTCTGGTCGGAATATCATTCAAATTTTTGCTTCATGGTGAGCCAAAAGTGTCGTAAAAATGCTCGTGGTAGGGCCGGGTGCCACTTTACAGTGGCCTCTGGTATGCAGTGTAGCCTTACACCCTCAGCATACGAGAGGTACAGCAACGCAGGAAGTGTCTGGCTTTATAAGTTGTGCTGCTGGGATATTCGCACTCTGGTAGAAGAAGCGAAAACACTTCTAAATACGATAACTGAGAAACTGTCGTCGAAAGTTAAAGCCGATAACTGTGACAGTGATGACGACACAGCATCCCTTGACACGTGGCTATGCGAGATTTTGAGAACGTCCCACGAAAAACTTTAAGTCACTTGCGTAGTTTGCCTACTAGGTTTGGTGACGGTAACCGGGAAAAAACTACACCAAGCAGTTTGAAGCCAGTATCTTCTGGATCCCGCATTCCCAGGACTGGCAGACCCAGTATGAAAACCGCTGACCGTAAGAATAGGTCTACTTCAGATGAAAGAAACAGGAGTGAAGCGCTCTTAGTTCCAACTACAGAACCACGCAAGCCACAGGTCGTACCCAGTTCGGCGACCCAGTCATTGGCGAAACTAACACAGAATGGGATGCAAGCTCGATCTGAGGCTCTCAGTGTCAGAGCAACTGGATTAAACTTTGGTAAACCTTGCATACCCGACTCTTAAAAATGGCAAGTAACTAAGCCTAAACGGCATGTCGAGAAGCCAATAACGGTAACCGAGCCAGCTATCGTCACTCTCCATAAACAAAGTAGAGCTCCTTGACAGGTTTGCAGTTTTCCACACAGTGGGAGAAAGTAGCAGCCCAGAACCACGCAAGCTTTCCGAACATGACCATGCAAAGTAAAAGGTTTGATAAGCCAGCTTTTGCCAAAAAACGAGTCAGGGGTCACCCTACTCAAGATATATACAGTAGGAAAACCGGAAACGGGCATTACTGAAAATAAGTTTTGCCTACCTAAAGTAGCATTCAAGTCAGAAGATGAGAGGAATCAGATTCCGAAGGGTACTCACAGACCTCAAGGATCTACAGTGTTCGTGCGAAAGGATCTGGCTCTTACTGATCGAATTAAGACATAAGAAATAGAGCGAAAATCCAGATTACCAGCTGGAGAGCAAGATATGAAGGTAGTGGGTTTTCATGTAGTGAGGTTTCGGCAACAAATGATTCCGAAGCCTGTATGGATAGGACGGTAACTCATTTAAGTAGTTTTATCGTCTTGTACACAAACGCACGTTGTCTTTTAAACAAGTGGACTCAGCTTAGTAATGTGATAGCAATGAAAGCCCCAATGTCATTATTATCTCAGAAACTTGGCTCTCTTTTTGGATCAGTGACTGTGAAACATACTTACGAGGATTCATCTCTTTTAGAAGTGATAGGTTAGCACGCAAAGGTGGTGGTGTCATCCTCTGTGTTAAGAATACCTTAACTGTAAAAGCCATAGAAATAGTTGCACATGAGAGTGAGACGTGTGAAATGCTACGCTGCCGACTAAAATGCAAGGGAGATGTTAACGTAATCGTGATGTATAGAAGCCCTGAATGTGATGCGGCGGACTTCCTCCTGAATAAGCCGACCCTCTGGACAGATAAATGCCAATGTCTGGTTGTAGGAGATTTCAACGCATCATCAGTTGACTGGGATAGACTAACAACAAAAGTACCACGAAATTCGTTTGACCACAGGTTGGTGGAAACATCAATTTTCTTAGCCCATATACAGTACATTAGGACACCAACCAGAGAAGATCACCAGCATGCTCCATCAGTTCTGGACTTACTATTCCTACATACGGATGATGTGTGCTTCATCCGGCACCTAGTACTCCCTGGCAAGAGTGATCAGTCTGTGATCATCTTCAGATTCACAGCAGACGTCTGGTACCAGGTCGATGCCCCAGCTAGACCCAACGTATGGAAAGCAAATATGGAGGCTGTTAACCTGGCAGCCTCTTCGGGGGACTGGGCAGTCAATCCAGAAGCCTCAGTTGAAAGTACGTGGCTCTCCTTCAAACAGTTGAATGTACGAGTGACCCAACCGTTCATTCCGTGGACTGTCCCGAGGGCACGAGAACACTGTCTTCCTTGGATAAACCACGAAATCCGAGTCTTGGTACGACGTAGGAAAACGTGTTGGAGTCTTAGCACCCACCTTGGTACGACGGAAGTGGTGAAGCATTGCAAAGAAGCCCGCAGTAGATGTGTCGCTGCTATCCGCCGGTCTCGAATATGCTTTGAAACACGTCTCGCCCGAATTGCATTGCAACATCCGAAGAGGTTGTTTTCCTATAGGAACTATAGAAATAAGACGTGTCGTGGTACACCCACCCTAATCAATGACACCAAAACTGTTCGACTGAGGACGGTAGGGAAAAAGCAGAAGCCATGGCTGGATATTTTGCTGAGGTCTTCACACAGGAATCCTCCGTGGACAGTTATTCAACGGTAGAAGCATTGATATCCAACAAAATAAACTCTGTGAATATCTATCGTGATGATGTATTTCGGACACTAAGTACTCTTGCTGTGGAAAAATCAACAAGACCGGATGAGTTGCACCCAGGGCTGCTCAAAGAGCTTGCACTCTATGCACCCGGCCCATTGACTACTATATCCAGACTGTTTCAGTGAAGGCACACTCCCCTACGACTGAAAGGATGCCATAGTAACACCTATGCACGAGGCAGCTCCTAGGCAGCTCCCATCAAGTTACAGACCGACAGTTCTGACTAGTACTGTAGCAAGAATCCTAGACAGAGTAATCAAGAAAGCCGTCATAGTCCACCTAGAGAGCAACACTCTATTGTCTGATTCACATCACGGTTTCCGTAGAAATTTCTCTTGCTTGACGAACCTTCTTACAGCCAGAGAAAGTTGTGTTAAGTCTAAAGATGATAGGATACCGGTAGATGTCATTTTCACTGACTTTAGTAAGGCTTTCGACAAAGTATCTCATTCCAGGTTGCTCGGAAAACTGAGAAGTTTTGGAATCACTGGCAGTCTGCTCACATAGATGAGAAACTTTCTTGTCGGTAGGAAACAAAGAGTAAGGATCAATTCTGAACTCTCCACTTGGAAGTCGGCAGAGAGTGGAGTGCCGCAAGGCAAAGTCCTGGGCCCCCTACCGTTTCTCCTATATGTGAACGAGCTGCCAAACATCACGAAGTCCCCTATGGTTCTCAACGCTGATGATGTAAAAATCTGGCAGGAAATTAGGAACGATAAGGATATACGTGCCCTCCAGGTAAACCTGAACAGCGTATTTGCCTGGTCGGATAAGTGGCTGATGCCTATCAGCGCAGGTAAATGTGTGGACATGCACTTGGGGCACACACAGAGCAACATCTACGATATCGATGGGACCCATTTACCGTCAGTACTGACCCTCAATGACCTAGGAGTTACGACTGGTTATGACCTAGAAACCACGACTCATTGTCGACTGGTAGCAGCTCGGAGTTGTAGAACTCTCTGGGCATTACTTAGAACGTTTACAAAAATAAGTGGCAACATGTTCACCATCTTAAACACATCCTTAGTTGGGTTCAAATTAGAAAACTGTACACAGGCAACCAATCCTTGTCTGAGAGGCTACGCAGACCTTCTAGAAAGAGTTCAGAGGGCAGCCATTCATATGATCACTTCGATGTCCGGCCTTACTTATGAAGACCGACTTAAGGAGCTGAACCTCTTCACTTTGTCCTACCACAGACAGAGGGGAGACCTAATCATGCTATACAGGATTCCAAGAAGTGACATTGGACCTGACTTGTCTTCTCTCTTCCTTCCCACCAGGTCTGAACACCTTAGAGGACACAGTAGGAGACTACGGAGGCAAAGACTGAACATAGTCTCCGCAGAGTACTGGTTCTCGCATCAAGTAGTAAACGCCTAGGACCAACTTCCAAAAGAAGTGGTGTCCGCATCATCAGTTGACTCATTCAAGAAGGGATTGAACAAGCAAAGAAATCTACTGAGAAAAGATTAATATAGGCTCCTAGCCTCCTATCCTCAGACAACAAATCTGAAATCTGAAGATTGAATGTTGGAATAAAGCGCTGCATGTGAGCTTAAGGTCGATCGCCAGATTTGATTATCCGAAATAGTAAATACCATGCAACTATGATATATATATATATATATATATATATATATATATATATATCATTTAATGTTCTTTGTCTGTTAAGTTGCATAGATTCTTTTGATCAAAGCATGTTTCATAACGATTAAGAATTCCTAATCGTTAGTCGTCAATTCACTCTGTTCTCTGCAATCTTTTTAACCTAGCTCCATGACTGCCCACAAGCTTTCATTTCTTCCTCACACCATCTCCTCCATGTCACCCTCGAATACCCAACTCGTTTCCCATTTGGGTTCCAATCGACGGCCTGGCATGTGATGTCCCCAGTCGGCCTTCTCAGTGTATGCCCAATTCATCTCCATTTTCTTCCACTGCATATTTGTTAGGCGATGGGTTTTTGGCTGGTTCGTTGCCAGCCAATCAGAGTTCCTTGTTGCTTATTCTTTCTGACATCTGATCTTTAGCCATGAGCGTAGGCAGCTGTTGATGTATGATGTCTGTAGTTTGTTGGAAATGCTTTTCGTAATGCGACAAGTTTCTGAAGCATGTAGGAGCACTGACTTGACTGGGTTAGTGTTGAAAATCCGGATGTTGTTGTTTATGCTAGGTTGAGTGGAGTGCAGTAGATCTCCACACTGATTCCAGGTTGATGAAGACCTGTCTTATTGTCTTTCCAATCCTGGTTTTGACATCCTCATGTATGCCTGTACGGCCTGTAGTTGAAACGATGCTGCCTAGGTAGGCAGGTAGGTAGGTAGGTAGGTGAAAGAGAAAATTTCCTTTAGATTTCTCCCGTTGATGGTGATTAGTGCCTGTTGTTGATGCTGTTGTTGGTTGGGCATGTTCATCACTTCCGTGTTCTCTGCATTCACTTGAAGTCGCGTTTTTGCTGCCTCTCCTGACAGCTTGTTAGTTTTTGCCTGTAGATCTTCTAGTTTGTGCGACATTCGACACAAATCATCGTTGGCGAAATCCAAATCTTCTAAGGTCTTTTCATCGGTCAAACAGGTAATACCCATCTTCTCGGTCCTCACGGTTTGCTGCCTGATGCAGTCGACCAGAATGAGGAGGATCATTGGTGATGGTAGGTGGCAGGATTGTCTTACTCCTGTCTTCACTTCAAAGGTATGACTGAACTTTCCATTGTGAATCTCTTGGCATGTGGCCTTTTCATATAGCTGTTGAATGAGGTTGACAAGGGTTTGTGGTATTCGGTAGTGTTGAAGTAGCTGCTAAATTACTTCTTGGTTGACGCTGTCGAAGTCCCCTTCAAAGTCGATGAAGTTGAGGCAAAGATTTTGTTGACTGCCACTCTTTGTTCTCTTCTATAATGACTTGTAGTGTAGCCTTATAATTTGATCTGCATATGATTTGTTTTTCCTGAAGCCAGCCAGCCAGTTCCGGTCGTGATTTTGAATTCAGAGCATTGTTTAGTCTCTCCAGGATGATGCGGCCTAATATTTTGCTTGGAGTGGACAGGAGCATGATTCCTATCCAGTTCTTGCAAAGACTTGGGTCAACCTTTTTTTCGGAGTGATGGTGTGGTGTGAGCATATCCGCTATTGTCTCTGTGTCTGTTTTCAGTGCTTCTGGCAAGATTCCATCTAGTGCTGCTGCTTCCCAGCATTTCAGTAACCTTATGGCCTTCAGGACTTGTGCTTTTGTCGGAGGGCTTGTGTACACGGGTAGTTCTGTGGCTGGGCTGCTGGTGATATTTCTGGACGAACTGCATGTGATGGTCTATTCAAGAGTTTTTTTGGAGTGGTCAGCCCATCGTTTCCCTTGTCTCACTTCTTTGGTAATTAGATTTCCTTCACTATCTTTCAATGGTTTCATACGTGTTGATCACTTCCCAGATAGTAACCTGGTTATTTGATATGATGTTATCAGGTCTCTCCTACCAGCAGCCTGTTCTGCTTCACTTGCCAACGTGTCGTGGAAGTGTCTTTTGTGTTTCTGTGCATTCTTCTCCACTTCATTGTCCAATGTTTTATAGGTTGTGTTCAGTCCCTCTTTTCGGTGTACATCCCTGCGCTGCACTGATTCATCTTCTGCTTCACCATCTTCCTCTCCCTGCTCTATCAGTTTCCATGTATCCATCGAGATCCATTCCTTATCTTCTTTCTTCTTCCTTCCTAATACGGTTATTCAGGTTTCCTTCCACATAGCTTTCCAGTGTTCTTCCACACAGGTTCCTTCAGGGGTGTTGTCAATGTCTAGCATTTTGTTGTGATGGCTGAGGTGAAGATATCTTTTGTAGTTTCGTCCTTCAGTTTCCGAGTGTTGAACTTGAACTGTGGTCTATCACCAGCTTCTTTGAAGGCTTTCAACTTGGTATTGAAGGTTGCTTGCACTAGATACTAGATAGTAGTGTGAACCTACATCTGCTCCCCTTCTTGATCTTATGTCCAGTAGGTTGACTGCGTTTCCACTTTCTTCAGGTTGAAATGAAGTCGATCTGATTTTTAGTGTGTCTATCTGGTGAAATCGAATCCATGTCGCTTTGTGGATATCCTTGTGCTTGAGCACAGTGCCTCCACTTACCAAATGGTTGAATGCACAGAATTCTGCAAACAATTCTCCATTCTCATTCATTTCATGGAGTGCCTCTTTTCCTATGTTGTCCTCTCCCAGTTTGGCATTCATGTCGTTCATTAGAATTTTGATGTCGCCAACTGAGGTCTTGTCACGTGCTGATTGCAGTTGTCTGTAGAATTGCTCCTTCTTCTCTTGATCTGTATTATTTGTAGGTGCGTAGCGTAGTATAATATGATTGTGACTTTCCTTCATTTTGATTTGAATGTTTCTTGCATGATTCATAAGGGGGTTGGTTCCCACTGCATGAGTGAGTGCCTTCGATGTTGTTGGGGACATCATGATAGCCACTCGAATAATCAGTATGCTCATGGTTGTTGTGTGGGTGACAATATCGGAGTAGATTATTAACTCTCCAGTTGAAAGTTTGGAGAGTCCACTTGCATTGCATCTGCTTTCGCAGATTTCTAGCACTTCTATCCCATATCTTCTCATCTCTTTTGCAATCTGGGCAGCCTTGCTAGCTTCAAACATAGTGATGGCATTCCATGTCCCCATGTTTACTTTTGCTTTAATCGAGAGAGAAGAAGACACATCGGCCGACTGGCTTCACGTAGGCTTTCGCCAACCGGCGTCACTTCGTCTCCCCGATTCCGTTGGTGAATTAGTTTACTTTTATTTTATATTTTTTTTCGTGTTTTGAAGTTTCTTTGGCGGTTGGATTGGTTTTGCGGGGTAGGGTTACTAGCCGTATGCCCAACCTCCCCTCTTTATCTGGGCTTAGGACCGGCTAGTAAACTAGGAGTGGTTGTTGAACATCACTATTTGTCAATTCTGAGGACCACCCTCCACAAACCTTTATACGGCTGCGTTAGTTCGAGTTGAGAGGTTTGATAAGCATTATATAGTTGCCCGGTATTCCCTCCACAGTCAGATGTTGCCACAACACCTCGCCACTGACAAAGTCAAATGGTGCCTTCAGGTCAAGAAATATGACAAGTGTCTGCCACCAGTAAGTATGTCTGTGTTCCAGGACCTGTCGTAAATCGAAAATATGATCAGTACACCCTAGTCCAGGTCTGACACCTGTTTGGTTTTTCGAGTTTGCTGTTCTCGGGCTGCAGTAGTGTCGGATAACCATGGACCCAGAGATATTGGACGCAATATTAGTCAAACCAATTCCTCTATGGTTGCCACAGGAACACTTCTTTCCCTTCTTATAGACTTGGATGATCAGAGAACTAGACCAGTCTGTCGTAACTACCTCTGATTTCCATACACTACGCACTGCCTCGGTCACTTTAAGTGGTAGTTTCCTACCTCAATCTTTTTAAACACCAGGTGAAAAACTGCTTTGCACTATTTGAGGTTCGATACAACCTTCTTCATGGAGAGTTAGAGGACCGACATGTATGCCCTGTTGAGGTTCAGGCTGAATGTTGGGCAACTAAAGCGTTGGTGAGGGCCAGTTTAACTGTACTTCAGAGTGTACTGCTCAAGGTTCTAGCAGTCTGTTCTGGGAGGTTATCAGGGTAAAATCCTTTTCGGTGTTAGTTAAACTATCGTTTTCTCCTTTCCGATATCCTTAATAAACGTAAATAGATGCTAGATGTTACCCAAACCTTATGCCTTCTCCATCTCTGTCGCTTTCTTCACTCACCACTGCTGGCGATCGACGCAAAAACTCTTGGTCAACTTAACCTTAAGTTGCTTTCGCTCTTCGTCATGGTCAGAGCTAGCTGGAATCAGTTTTTTCCGCATCAATCAGTCCGGCTGATCTCTCGCAAATCCAATGACGTTTTTTAATCTTCGGGTGTAGGCTAACAATTGTCTTAAAGGCTGTTTCTACAGCAGACTTGGTCTCACGCCAGGTTTCCTCAGGGTTAGCATTGCTGTCATTTTCATATAAATGCTTGGGTATTACTTCCCTAAATGCAGACTCGACATTTTCAACTACCAATCGACCATAGATAGGCTATACTATCGCTTGCAGCCAGTATGGCGCAGACATACAGGCTCATATACTAAAGAGTGATCAAAGTCCAAACTAGTACTCGAGAAACTGCAGCAATTCTCTTCGGTCCTCTCCAATGATGGCTTTTATAACAATATAATCTGTGTCTATCGTCGGTGTTTCCTGCTATCCAGTCGATACCTGAATGGAATATTAGGATAGCCTTCCCCACCCCCAAAACTTGCAGAAGTCGAAAAAGCAGTAGGTAACCTGAAACGAGGAAGGGCGGCAGGACCAGGCGGACTAACTTCAGAGATATACAAGGATGATGGTAAGGTGCTCTTAGTCAGGTTAACGGAAGCGTTAGCTAGTATATGGGAATCAAATACGATCCCCTCTGACTGGTCTAAATCACTCATTATCCCAGTCTTCAAGAAAGGTGAGAAGTCCTCTTGTGATGACCATAGAAGAATTAGCCTGATGAACATAGTGTATAAGACTCTAAGTTCTAAAATTCTTCGACGCAGCTAAGGAACAGCAAGCCTGAGAAAACCAGGCAGGCTTTAGACCTGGCCGCGTGTGTATCGACCAAATATTCACACTGCGCCAGGTCTTGGAACATAGGCATGCTTACAGACGCCCAACAATAGCTGTATTTCTCGACCTGAAAGCAGCATTCGACTCCATTGATCGAGAAGTCTTATGGCAATATCTGTCACTGAAAGGCGAGCCTAGTAAGTACATCACGTTATTGAAAGCTCTCTACTCGAACACTTGTGGGCATGTTAGAGCCTATGGAGAGTTGTCCAGGGAGCTATACTCATCGAGCGTGTCCGTCAAGGATGCCCACTACCTCCATTCTTATTTAATTTTATCATAGATATACTTATATGGAGGTTTCCGTCTTGTCACCCAATTACACAGACGCTGACCTAATCACAGGAGAATTTTCGTTTAGTTTAGAATATGCAGATGACATAGTCCTGTTAAGTGAAGACGCTGACTGATGAGATGCAGAGTCTTCTGAACACTTTGAGTGGGAATTTGAGAATGTTTGGATGCGATTTTCACCACACAAATGCAAATTTTTGCTCCAGGACTGGTGTTCAGCGGTACCCCACCGCGGTTAACAATCGAGAGTGAGTGTCGTGGTTGAATGTGTTGACCACTTCACTTACCTGGGAAGTGGGATCAATCGTGGTGCGTTGGTCAGTTGCCGATGAAGTCTGTGCACAGATACAAAAGGTTCGATTGGCTTTTGCCAATTTACGCCACCTATGGTGCCGGCATGATATTCGTTTGTCTATTAAGGGTCGCGTGTACTGCACAGCAGTCCGGTCTGTTCTACTGTGTGGCTGTGAAACATGGCCATTGAAAGTGGAAGATATAAGAAGGCTTCAAGTGTTTGACCACCGTTGCCTTCGTAGTATAGGCCACCGTATTCCCTGGTGTCACCACACCACGTGAGTAATGCAGAAGTCAGGTGTAGAGTTTTAGGAAGAAGAGGTAAGTCGGTTGACTAGGCTATGAACCTTCATCGACTGAGATGGTTGGTACACGTACTACGTATGCCTAGTCACCGATTGCCTTGTCACACAATGTTGGCTGAGGGGGGTCCAGGCTGGAAAAAGGCTCGAGGTGGCCAGACTAAAACATGGTATTAATGTATGAAGTCTCTGACTGTTGGTTTAAGCCATGTGGGGCGATGCAGACTAAGTGGTTGGGGTCCACGGGACAAGAAGAACCAGTGCTTGGAGACTGATTCTAGGTGATATGGTTCAGAACCGATGCCAGTGTCGCATATGTATACATACATTATCGTCATCTTAACTACACTATACCGAATCTCACCATTTTGTCATCCCTCTTTTCTTTCTTCTCGTACTTTATATTTCTTTTGACTGCGTTCACTTATCTTTATCCTTCACCTGACTACCTTTCTACTTGATGTAGTGGTATGAGGTGTGGCAACTCGGGCCGTTACGCAGTAATGCCTGGTCCTATGTTGATAATGATGATTATGATGAGGTCTAATTACAATTCTCCTGTGATTACGTCAACGTCTGTGTAATCAGGCGACGAGAGGGAAACCTCCAAGAGAATATCTATGATTAAATTGAATAAGAATGGAGAGAGTGGACACCCTTGACGGACACCACTCGATGAGTACAGCTCACCTGACATCTCACCATAGGCTCTAACATGCCCACAAGTGTTCGAGTGGAGAGCCTTCAATAAAGTGATGTACTTAATCGGCACACCTTTCATTGAGAGACATTGCGATAAGACCTCTCGATCAGCGGAGTCTGAACGGCATCTGAATCGGTATTAACAGGTAGGTTTGCTATACAGCGGGTCTCCTTAATGGATTATATGGGTGTGAAACTTGACTGCTAAAGGTGTTGGAAGTGATAAGACTTCAGGTACTTAGTCAACGTTACCTTCTTGGCATAGGTCGTGTGTTGTGATGTTACCATGTCTGTAATGCCGGAGCCAAGTCTAGATGTTCAGGGAGGAGGGGAAGAGGCTTATATATTTGCTGTGCATGCGTATTAATCGTATAGTTTGTGGTTCTATGCTAGCTTAAATAATTTCAGGCCTAAACACAGGTCCAAAACAATGAAAGTTAAACGTGGCATTAGTTTAAGAATCCCTTACTGTTGGGCCGAGTCGTGTAGAGAAATGTCGACTCCTAGGCTTGGGTCCCCATAACACACGCAATCGATAGTTGGAGACTAGCTGATATGTCTAAGAACCTATCTAAGTGGTGGAGATACATGGATGTGTGATCTTTATTTTAATCGTCATGTGACATTTCTTTATTGTTGTAGTTCATTTTCCTTTCTTCTTTCGGCCATAGTTCTCTTGAATACTCCACTTCCCCGTCTTTCAGCTTGATACCTTGTATCTTGACTTAGTGGTGTGAAGTTTGGTAACTTGGATTGTCACTCACTATTGCGATGCTTTATGTTGGTATGAGCTATCTCTTCTCATCCACTTCTTGGATTGTTTTTGATCGCTGTATGAGTGGGGGGATAGAGGTTCTAAATTTTTCTATATTCATTCATTAACTATTGGCGAGAGCTTTATGAAGACTCTTTTCACTCCTAGTCTTGGTTCTGTTAGGGTAGCAAGGGTGATACGAAATCGAAGTGGGAATGTACTCAGCGACCTTTGTGCGTATTTATGCAGCAGTAAACAATAAGCTACGCACCTGTTGTATGTGAAGGCAAAAGATACTCTATCTGTCTGCTCAAACGTTAGTAGGTGAAGTGGGACTCGGGCCATTGACCTAATGGTTAAAAGTCATCTTCCTAAATCAAATGGGCCACAGCTCCATTGAAGAGTGATTACTGTTTAAGAGTCTGGTAATACTGGAAGTTGACGTCTCAGCATTTCTTTCTTTTCATCAACTTCATTGAACAGTGTTATTTGAGGCAGAAAACATCACGTCTTGCTGAATTAGTCTATAAATCTTAGTTTTCTATCGTAAAATGTAATATTTTATTGTATAAGTTTGTCTTTCCATATTTGTGCTTATTTCGCTGTGATGCTCTATATCGATTTTTGCGGTTTTCGCTTTACAGGGTTTGATACTTGTTACCTCTTGGAAAAAAGAATTGATCCCTTGTTACGCAGACAATGAAGTTAGTTGTGCATTGGTTTTGTCTGTAAAAAAGTTAACTTTTAGAATAAATATCGATGGTCTTCTAGTCTATTTCCCCTATGAATACATATATCCAGAACAATACCACTATATGATTGAATTGAAGCGGACATTGGATGCAAAAGTAAAGTAAACTTGTGTATATTTGATAACTTTAAGGGTCATGGTGTTTTAGAAATGCCTTCTGGTACAGGTAAAACTGTCTCCCTTCTCTCGCTGGTTATTGCCTACATGAAAGCACGTCCAAAAGCTGTAGAGAAATTTGTCTACTGTTCACGTACAGTACCTGAATTAGAAAAAGTTATCGAAGAATTAAAAGTGTTGGATAAATATTATGCTATGGAGACTAATGAAAAAGGTTGTGGTCTACTCGGATTGATACTTAGCTCACGTAAAAATATGTGTATTGAGCGTGATGTAAAAGCTGCCGGTGATGGTGCTGCAGTTGATTCTGCTTGTTTTCGTCTAACTGCTAGTTTTGTGCGTAGAAAACATTTAACTGATCCTACAGTCCCATCATGTAAATATTTTGAGGTAGATATTACACTTTTTGTTAATCTATGTCTTTAAAAAAAAAATTACACTAGGAATTTGACTTACATGGTCGTGAAAATCCTATTCCCACAGGAATATATAATATGGTATGTAGTAGTTTAATCATAGACAATCTATTGTTTACTATAGAATGATATCAAGGCCTATGCTAAGAAGAATAACTACTGCCCATACTTTCTCACTCGATATGCTGTATGTTGATATGTACAATTAATTGGATCCTATTAATCATTACCTCCTCTTCTCCCTCGTTTTCAAAGATTACATATGCCAATATTGTTGTCTACAGTTATTTCTATCTCCTTGATCCAAAGATAGCTAATGTTGTATCACGTGAATTACCAAAGAATTCAGTTATTGTCTTCGATGAAGCGCATAATATTGGTGAGTTATTTCTCTGTATTTGCCTCATGATATATTGATTACCTATTTACTATTCATTATTAAAGTTTGATTCGATATGGTTGTGAACCTTCTTCAACCGAAATAGCTTAGATATGTGCTGTGCATGCCGAGCCATCACCACTTCCTTTGACATGCAATGCTGGATTAGGTTGGAAGAGGGTTCAGGCTGCCAGATCAATACGTGTTTGGAGGTGTAGACTACGCTGATGAGGGTCCCAAGACGATGGAAATCAGTGTTTGAGAATTCTTGGTGACAAAATAATCTATTCTCTCTTAACTTTATCTACTCTGATATCACCCCTTTTCTATCCAGCTGTTGTTTGTATACTGCTCTGAAGTATGGCAAACTTGAAGTCATGCAGTTGTGTGCGAGGTTGTCCTTGATTTATCCGTCTGTCTGTTGGTTCATTGATCTCTGCACTTGACTTTCATTCAATTTGTTCAGGTTTTAGACATCACTTCGCATTACAATAAGTCTGGCACATAGTATGGATTATCCAAATGTCTACCGAATAGCTAAATTTACCCACTGTTTTAATAGTCATCAAACAATTTGCTGATTTTGACATGAAAAACAATCTTAACTGGAAAAGAAAATGTTAAAGTATAGTTGTCGAGTAGAGAACAGTTAAGGAGAACTTAATGGTGTACACTTTATCTAGGAAATAGTGTAAAGGTATATCGTTTTGCCACCACACCAGTAACGTTATAAGTCACGAGTGGAGTTTTAGACAAAAGAGGCAAGTCAGCCATCTACTCGGATGGCTGGAACATGTATTACTTACCGGTTATTCATCGTCTGCGAGTTGCACAATGTTAGCCAAAGTAGGCTCCACCTGCAGAAAGGTTGAACGCGATCAGACTAAAATATGGCGTCAGTCCATCAAGTTTTCGACTGTAGGTTTCGTTGTGTTGGTTAATATAAACTCTGCGGCCAGGGTATGAGTGGGTAGTTGTAGTTGTACTAGAGGGTACAATCAATGTGACGTCATACAGATACTGATCATTTTTGGAGTTGAAAATATATGCCAACTGATATTGTCTCTGGGGTTTTGTACGAATCTGTTACCGTTTTAACGGTGATCAGGCTAGAATATGACATCAATTCATAAAGTCTCTCACTGTTGTTGTTGGCCATGTGACAACCGAAATCGCTGTTTGGCAACTGTTAATGATATGGCTTGGAATCGATGTCATTGGTGCAGATGTATCGCGCACATTATTCTTCTCTGGTTTTCTACTACTTCTTATCACTTCTAATACCTTTTTACTAACTTCACTATCTATTATCGACTACTTTGGTGTGCTAATATAAGATTTGGCAACATTGCCGACTATACATTAATATCAGGTCCCACAATGACGATGACTGCCCTTTGTCAACTGGTGTGTATGTGGTGGTGTTGTACGGGCCAAGGCTTCTCAATTAGCCATACAAGTTGTTGTTTTTATTAAAGTAAATTATGTTTAAATGCATCACCCATGTATTATTATTATTTGTCCCTTGGGTTCCTAGTGGAACATAGGGATTCAGTAGCACGTTTCCATTTCACTCTCTTCTCTGCAATCTTTTGAAACTGCCTCTACAACTGCCCGCAAGCTTTCATTTCTTCCTCACACTATCTTCTCCATGTCACCTCGAATACCCAACTCGTTTCCCATTTGGGTTCCAATCGACGGCCTGGCACGTGATGTCCCCAGTCGGCCTTCTCAGTGTATGCCCAATCCATCTCCACTTTCTTCCACTGCATATTTGTTAGGCGATGGGTTTTTGGCTGGTTCGTTGCCAGCCAATCAGAGTTCCTTGTTGCTTATTCTTTCTGACCATCTGATTTTTAGCCATGAGCGTAGGCAGCTGTTGATGTATGATGTCTGTAGTTTGTTGGAAATGCTTTTCGTAATGCGACAAGTTTCTGAAGCATGTAGAAGCACTGACTTGACTGGATTGGTGTTGAAAATTCGGATGTTGTTGTTTACGCTAGGTTGAGAGGAGTGCAGTAGATCTCCACACTGATTCCAGGTTGATGAAGATCTGTCTTGCTGTCTTTCCAATCCTGGTTTTGACATCCTCATGTATGCCTGTACGGCCTGTAGTTGAAACGATGCTGCCTAGGTAGGCAGGTAGGTAGGTAGGTAGGTGAAAGAGAAAATTTCCTTTAGATTTCTCCCGTTGATGGTGATTAGTGCCTGTTGTTGGTTGGGTATGTTCATCACTTCCGTGTTCTCTGCATTCACTTGAAGTCGCGTTTTGCTGCCTCTCCTGACAGCTTGTTAGTTTTTGCCTGTAGATCTCCTAGTTTATGCGACATTCGATACAAATCATCGTTGGCCAAATCCAAATCTTCTAAGGTCTTTTCATCGGTCAAACAGGTAATACCCATCTTCTCAGTCCTCACGGTTTGCTGCATGATGCAGTCGACCAGAATGAGGAGGATCATTGGTGATGGTAGGTGGCAGGATTGTCTTACTCCTGTCTTCATTTCAAAGGTATGACTGAGCTTTCCATTGTGAATCACCATTTATGTATGCATCTTCTGAATATTTCTCTACAAGTTTGCCTTATAAGAGCAATTGAACTGGGTTTTTTTTCTTCCCGATTATTTGTGTTTATTGCATAGACACATAACATATTAAACACATGGCATCATTTCACAAAGTTATTGTGCAACTGGGTTGCTCTAGTTTATACATTCAGCTCCCAATCTTTCGATATATTGACTACTTTAAGTATACAATAATGGATTCAACTATTTTCAAGTAATTTCTACCATTTGTAAAGTTATCATTCATTGGTTTGGGGAGATGACTTTTAAACAGTCAGTCACGAAGTTCTAATACCACTGTCTATGTCTACCGAGATTCGAGCAGCCATCTCACGCCGTAATAGTTGTCGCTCATTATACACTACTGCATGACTATATATAAGGTTGTTGAGTGAACTATCTACTTACTGTTCTTTTGGATAAAATAGGGTTCGGTAACATGAACTTGTAATGGTGATTTATGAAGTAGGCCGCGGGAATGCAAGTACTGTTGTATTGTATAACACACAAATCCCAACCTCTAGCTGCTACTTTGACGTGTTGGTCGGGATTGCATATCCCAATGACCCAACGAGTTATACTGGCTAGGATGCTTGTTCCTTCGTGTTCCTCCTTCCATGCTGGAAGGTCTGCTAGCCGGATGGATGACCATCAGTGCCACGCTGATGCTGCCTTCCTGATTAGAATGCCGGGTTGATAAAGGTCACCTCCTTGCCCCACATTCTTTCGGTGTCGGCAGTATGGATTTTCTCTCTTTTGCGTTAAAACAATTATATCGTATAATAACAGTCCTCAAAAGGCCGTGTATGAAGGACCCCAAGCAGATGTCTCATGGGTTCTGTGGTTACATAAATCTCTTTATCTTTCAGGTACCAGAACACCTATGGTGTGGGCAGCCGGGAGTGTCAATCGTCCAATCATTTGCTTCCAACTGTGCACAAGACCCAACCAAACATAACTTGTTCTATTCAGATCACGGAAATAGCACCTTTTATAGGATGTAAAACCAGTGGATAGCTGTCTGTTTCAGTTTAAGACACCTCAGCAATGTGCTCTCTTACAACCGCTGCCAAGGTTAGACAGACAATATCCTTCGGTTTGTAAGATAGGATTGGATGCTTCATGGTTATTGTTTTCAACAAAAAACCATTTATAAAATCTGATTGTTAAGCTGAAATCAGGGTTGTAGGGGAGGGGTGCAAATTGTTATTACTTGGATTATTGTTGTATCACTCTACCGATTAATCCGTGAGATCCGTTCTCTAACTAGATCATAATTGCTGCTTTCTGGTCATTGTTGTATGGGATTGTGGCTCATTGGTCTAGCCATTTGCCTTCAAAACCAGGATGCCACTAGTTCGAACCCCCCTGCTCTGCATATCAAGCATTTAGCATGTAGTTGCTGAGTATATTTCACTTCTTTTGGAATGTGTAACAACTATATTCTTTTGTTTTATCCTGATTTTCATTGTAGATAATGTTTGTATTGAATCAATGAGTTGTTTAATTACACGACGTTCTTTAGAAAAGTGTACCACTAGCTTGAATCTACTAACAGAAACAGTCAATAGAGTGAAAGAAAATAATTCTGAACGTTTAAAACAAGAATATCAACGACTTGTGGAAGGTTTAAGGCAAGCACAAATAGAAAAAGAAACTGATCTTGTATTAGCTAATCCAGGTAATATATTATTTGTGTGTTTCACATACTTATCCATTTGATTTTTACTGTATGATAATTTAAATGAAAAGTCAACGGTGTGTATTGGACAATTGAATTGCGTTTTTCAAGGTCACTGTCACAAGGTCACAAAGACTTCTGTGATTTTATTATTATTATTATTTGTCCTTTGGGTTTCTAATGGAACATAGGGCTTCAGTAGCACATCTCCATTACACTCTCTTCTCTCAAATCTTTTCAACCTGGTTCCACCACTGCCCACAACCTCTCATTTCCTCCTCGCATGATCTCCTCCATATCACCCTATCCTCGCATGCCCAACTCGTCACTTCCCATCTGCCTTCCACTCGATCAACTGGCCTGACACGTGATGTCCACAGTCCACCTTCTCAGTGTATACCCAATCCATCTACACTTCCTTCCACTGCATATTTGTTCAGCAATACCTTCTTCCTTCGTTGATTCCTTGCCAGCCAACCAGCCAACCAGCCAGCCAGCCAGCCAGCCAGCCAGCCAGCCAGCCAGCCAGCCAGCCAGCCAGCCAGCCAGCCAGCCAGCCAGCCAGCCAGCCAGCCACAGTTCCTTCTTCCACATTCTCATTATTCTCGCCATCTGAGCTGATCTTCACTAACGAGGCAGTGTAGGCGGCAGTTGTTGATCAATGTCCCTAGTTCGTTGCAAATCCCTTTCGTAACGCCACAAGTCTCTCTCTCAACTATCATATACAAACACTGACTTCACTGAATTACTGTTGAAAATCAGCATCTCCTTCCACATCCTGACTGCACTGCACAACATCTCCACACTGGTTTCAGGCTAATCAATACCTGTCTTCCTGTCTTTCCCATCCTGTCTGGCTTTGACGTTCTCGTGTGTCCCTCTCCCACCTGTACTTGAAACACTCATGCCTAGATAGGTGTAGGTCAAGGAGGCTACTTCCTTTAACTTTCTCCCATTCATGGTCATTGGAGTTTGTTGTTGGTGTTGTTGTTAGTTGGGTATCTTCATCACCTATGTCTTCTCTACATTCACTTGAAGTCCCATCTTCGCTACCCTGCCCTGCTCTGCCCTGCCTCTTCTGTCAACTTCTTACTTTTCACCTGTATATCTTCAAGTTTGTGTGACATCAGACACAAGTCATCATCGTTGGCGAAATCCAAGCCTTCTAGGTTCTTTTACCCGGCACACCCAGCGTATCCTCCACCCCATCTTCTCACAGCTCCTCACTGTTTCTTGCATCATCCAGTCCAGTCGACCACAACACAGTGAGGAATATCATGAGTGATAGTAGGTGGCAGCCTTGTTTAGTCTTACTCCTGTCTTCACTTCACTTCACTTCATTTGGAAGGCATCACTGAGCTTCCCATTGTGAATTACTTGGCATGTGGCATCTTCATGTAGCTGCTGTTGACTGAGATTGATAAAAGTTTATTGCATTCCGTAGTGTTGAAGCAGTGGCCTGCCAAATTACTTGTGGATCGACGCTGTCAAAGGCCTTCTCAAAGTGGGTGAAGTTGAGGTAGAGGTACAGTTGACTGTCATTCGATACTCTGTTGGATGATGATGCAGAGAGTGGCGTTGCAATTTGGTCCACACATGATTTGTACTTCGTGAATCCAGCCAGCCAGCCTGCCTGCCTGTTCCGGTCGTAGTTTTGAATCCAGTGCATGCTTTAGTCTCTCCAGAATGATGCGGCTTAATATTTTGCAATTTCTTTGGTTTGCAATTATGTATTTTAACCGTATGACTAATTTCATCTGTTTTCTACATATTGGCTACACTTACTGGTACGCATAACTGGTTAGTCATCGATTTAGTGTTGGTTACAGCTTGCTTCTAACACAATTCCTTGACTCATAAGTGTGTATACAACTCATTGACTGTCATTGCGGCGACAGTTGGCATAGATGAATTAAAATATTTTGTCCCCCGGTAAAAACAGAATAACATACTTTCAATTAACTGAAATTTGTTTGTGAAATGTAAATGTAACTCACCTTTCATGGAGTGTTATCTAAGTCAAATGACGTAGCGGTTACTATGGTGATAAAAAGATGTGGAATTGTGAAAATATATCAGAAGTTGGATAGAATACGGCAAAGTACAATATAATGAGTGAGCAGGCCGTATTGAGGCCTCCGCACAAGTGTCTGTCTGTCAACAGAGGTCGATAAATTCGACCTTGTATATAGCAACTAGGAAGTAAAAGTATCAACCGATACCCGTTGCGCACACCAGGGGGTGGCTCTCACACCCTAGTGACGTGGTGGACAACCCTTTGATGTTCGAAGTGCAACGTACTGGGTTTAAGTCTGTCAGTGGAAACAATATCGCTCACTGTGGTGCAAGTGCATCCGGCTGACGAGTCCCAAATGGGACGAAACTCCAATCTCGGGCACCACTTTTACGTACTAGCTGGCTAATCATATCAAGTAACAGATGCATCACGTTAACTACAAGAAAGTGATTCGAAAAGGATAGATTAAAGTTTAAACAAAGAAAAATTGTAACAAATTACTGATTGGAGGTGGTCACTGGTTCGAATCCAGCCACGGTCCATATTTTCATCTCATCTTTAATCACCACCCAGTACAAATACTAATCTACTAAACTACGGCTATCTCAGATAGTCAAATGATAAACAAATCGTCGACACGTAAAGAAAAAAAAATCCCTGAAATAAAATCGAAATATGAATAATACCACTTTTCATTGTAGAAAGTAGTGTGTTACAAATAGTATAAACTGGTACGATGGGAGAAATATTACACAGAAATCATCACAGAACACCTGAATTGATTTTAATATTCTCAATGAGTGTCATGACAGTGCCATTTTCATGAGTTGAATATAGCCATGTAAATATAATTGTCTATCAATCAATCAATATCAACATGGGACCAGGCATTACTGCGTAACGATCCGAGTTACCACACCTCATCTCATATCACTACATCAAGTAGAAAGGTAGTGAGTTGAAGGATGAAGATAAGAGAATACAGTCAAGAGGAGTATAAAGTACGAGAAGAAAGAAAAGAGGAGTGACAAAATAATGAGATTCGGTATAGTGTCGTTAAGATGAGGATAATGTGTGTGGGGATACATTTGCGCCACTGACATCGGTTCTGAACCATATCACCTAGAATCAGTCTCCAACCACTGGTTCCTCTTGTCCCGTGGACCCTAACCACCTAGTCTACATCGTCCTACATGGCTTAAACCAACAGTCAAAGACTTCATACATTGGTGCCATGTTTTAGTCTGGCCGTATCGTGCCTTTTTCCAGCCTGAAGTTACTTCGGTCAACATTGTGTGACGAGGCAAATGGTGACTAGGCATACGTAGTACGTGTCCCAACCATCTCAGTCGATGAGGATTCATAACCTCGTCAACCACCTAGAAATCTATATCTTACATCTACATTACTCACGTGGTGACACCACGATGGTCAAACACTTGAAGCCTTTTTATACATTCCACTTTCAATGGCCATGTTTCACAGCCATACAGTAGAACAGACCGGACTGCTGTGCAGTATACGCGACCCTTAATAGACAAGCGGATATCACGGCGGCACCATAGGTGGCGCAAATTGGCAAAAGCCAATCGAACCTTTTGTATCCGTGCAGACATTTCATTGGCAACTGACCAACGCACCAGGGTTTATCCCGCTTTCCAGGTAAGTGAAGTTGTCGACACACTCAATCACGACACTCACTCTCTATTGTTAACCGCGGTGGGGTACCGCTGAACACCAGTCCTGGAGCAAAAATTTGCATTTGTGTGGTGAAAATCGCATCTCAAACATTCTCACATTTCCACTCAAAGTGTTCAGAAGACTCTGCATCTCATCAGTCAGCGTCTTCACTTAACAGGACTATGTCATCTGCATATTCTAAATTAAACGAAAATTCTCCTGTGATTAGGTCAGCGTCTGTGTAATTAGGTGACAAGAGGGGAACCTCCATAGGAATATCTATGATAAAATTAAGTAAGAATGGAGGTAGTGGGCATCCTTGACGGACACCACTTGATGAGTATAGCTCCCTGGACAACTCACCATAGGCTCTAACATGCCCACAAGTGTTCGAGTGGAGAGCTTTGAATATAGGCACGCCTATATATATGCAATATATCAAAAAAGTCACGATTCTTCTTTTAAAATTCTACTTCTTAGTGGTAAGTTGTCGTCAGGCGAATAATTTACTCATAGATTTGCATAAGGATCCAATATATCTGTACAGAAGACTCAGTGGATGACAACATTAGAATACTAACTGAAATATTCATTAATGGGAAATGAATAACGATTGGAGTTCATAGACCGTTGGAATAATCAGTCAGTGTTCAAACTCATGCTGTATTGTGTTCCAAAGAAATGCCTTCATATCTTGCTACCTTATAGAGAGGAATCTTATAGAATAGTTTTGAAACGAAGGCTAAGTTCTGCCATTAACACAACATACCATAAAGTTGGGTTTATCGTTGTTGCAGCACAGATCACAACACTTTACAAACGATTGTGTCACATCCCACCGAGTGTACCAGTTTACATAGGTGTGTGTGTGTGTGTGTGTGTGTGTGTGTGTGTGTGTGTGTGTGTGTGTGTGTGTGTGTGTGTGGATACATTTGCACTTGGGAGTGGGGAGATATTTACCAAAATGGCTACTAAGGCAGCTACATTCACAAGCGTTGATAGGCGCAGGTGGCAGACAATCATCAGCATCCATTACAGAGCATATTATTATGATATTAAAACAGCTTTTACAACTGTTAGGGTTGTACACTTAGAGGTTTGTTGAAGCACCATTCGTACAAAAATTTAAGCTTTTGTGTGTGTTTGTTTGTTTGTTTCTCCTAACACTAAACCTATCCTGGTAATGCTTACCTCACCACATTACCAAGGTTGTCTTCAAAGCTCATCATTCTACTTCTACTTAATAAATTCCTTTATTGATAATGGGTGATAATTGAGGGTGAAATGAAAATTTGAACCGCAGCGGGATTCAAGCCAGCGACCACCGGGTTTCCTACCCAGTACTCAACCAGATTTTTATTTCACTCAGCTCAGTTGATGGAGCACCGAGCCGGTTCGAGTCCTGAATCACTTTCAATCATCACACAGTATCAATACAAGTCTACTGAACCACGACTATCTTAGATAGTCAAAATGAAAATTCCTTTATGGTTATATTTATCCCCTGGTCTCCGTAACTTTCAGTTTTTTATATGAAATGGCTTGACAGACAAGTAAATGTGTCTTCAGATTGCTCCAAATGCTATCAGGACGCCTGTTAAAGCTTCTTAGCAAGCCATATCCTTCGTGTCGAGGACATTCATGCTCATTCAGAGATTCACTACTTCATCTCATGACGGTACAATGAGTGTTTTCAAAAAATTCTGCATTTATCAGTATCTCCACCCTAACAGAACTAAACTATCCATGTTATCCAAGCTCTGAGAGAAATGTCCACGGACGAGATTAATTCATGAGAAATAAGAGAAGATGGGGTAGGGGGTTTGTTGGATGAGTTAAACAGTCATACTAGACGGGCAGACGGAATCAATGTGGGACCTCGCACTCAACTGGATTGGTTTTAATTACCGCGAGTCAGTTATTAAGCAGTGATTCCTAACGTCTCACGGACTCCAGCCAGAGTCTGCAAGTACGATGGTCACCATTCAATACCACCTTAGGGGATGGCTCACTGTAATCACTGACTCTGTCTGAATAAAGAACTTTGTAACTTACCCATGATCGCAAATGGTTAATTCTTAATAAGTACATGGACTAACCGAAGTTTCTCTGTAGTTGATGCAACTTGAACTTCTACACTTTCTAACATACGTTTCTGACGTATTACTTCAAAACACTGATCACCGTCCCTGGTTTTTCACCTACTCATCGCACTTAACAGTAAGATTTATGAGAATATATGGTCGACAATGATCAAACTGAAATATTTCACCAGTTTCTGAAGTCATGTTAGGTGGTGTGAGCGTAAGGTATTACGTCTCCATTTACGGGATATATGTGCGTGTGTATGGTTGTCTACTTCATGAAATGTTTATGATATTGCTAACAGAGCTTCATGTTATTTTTTCCCACAGCTTTACCAGATGATATACTCCAAGAATCAGTCCCTGGATCACTACGAAGTGCAGATAGCTTTTTATCATTTCTGCGCCGATTTTTGGAATATGTAAAATTACGTCTACGTATCGCTCATGTAGTGCATGAAACTCCTGTGGCATTTCTACGTGATTGTCTAGAGAAGGTGTGCGTTGATCGTCGACCACTTCAGTAAGTTTTTTTTTTTTTAAATTGTGACAGATATTTTCGAGTGAGGGACGGTTTACATTGTATTCTTGTTTCTTTTCAAGTGTAAAAACGGACAATCATACAATTGAGAATCTAACTTTACATAAGTCACTGAATGAATAATTAAGAAAATGTGTGGCATTTCATGAGCCACACTCAAGTAGTTGAGACAGTATGATGAGTTGCACAACGTTTGATGGGATACGATGTAGCAAACTAAAGGTGACGAAAGTTGATATATACACTCAGTAATAACAGACACGATATAATCAGATAAGAAGGATTGGAGCTGTGACTCAACCACTGGGTCTCAAGTTCGAACCTAACTCCACCTACCAAGATATAGACAGCCGATATAGAACGTCACACAGAAGTTCATCATTCAAAGATGCCAAACTCCATAGTAGCATACAAAACAAATGAGTAGAGAAAAACTTGTTTCAGAGTAAAAAAAGTATATGAGAGAAGAGAGAATTTCAAAAACAAAACTACGTGGAAATGTTTTCAACTTTCCAAGGTATCAAAGAGTGAATACATCTACACCATTGTGACTGATTCTCAACCATTTCACTAAGAGTCTTCAACTATCGTTTCTTATGGTTTCTAGGACTTTATCCGGACAGTCTACACCTTCGTACGCTGCTCACTTCAGCCATCAGAAACTCCCTGAATTCCTGACCACATAGTGAGTTTCACTATCATGAGCTTTCTTCTAATCGAATCCTACTTTAGATAGTATTACACGTCAAGGTAACGGATGGTGGCGCCTCATGCGTAACACACATCCAAGCCACCAGAGTTACTGATGATTCATGACCGACTAATGGAACTGTGGCTCATTGGTTTGGGGAGATGACTATCAACCAGTGCGTCGCAAGTTCGAACTCCGCGCCACGTAAGTATCACTAAGCGTCATACACAATAGGCACGTGGCTCATCACCTACTGTACGAATGTCCACAGCGTGGCTGAGTGCGTCCCATCTGACCGACTTATTTGTCTTACCTAGTTAGTACTCTTCATCTAACCTCGACATTGCTCATTCAACGATTTCACCACACGTGAATAATACTTCAAAGACATATATGTGTGTATGGTTGAAAGCCTATAATTTCTTCCATTCTGTATGTTAAAAATCTTCTGAAGACAGCCATTATCTTATAAGCATTTTTCAATGAATAGCAAGTCTTTCTGAAGCTTATCACCTGAAGTTTTTATTATCGCTGTGTAAGTGATATCGTGTTATCACCAATCCTCGTTTAAGACTGAAAGGTCATCCATCTCCTATCTTTTATGATATATCATAATTTCATCTATAAATATCTTTAATCTAGTTGTTCTGTATCCTCACCAGTATACATCGAATTGACGAATTTTTAATACATCAGTCTTCGAATCTACTGCTTCACACCATTGAATATGATAGGCAGTATTTCCTCGTTGAATTTGTGAAGATTTTAAACTGCAGACATTTGCTAAAGTCTTACTTGACTTCTTTCAGTGCATATAATTATCAAGCAACTATACCCATTTCAAGTTAGTATTCATCATGAACTGGCATCAATTAGATGAACATTGAAAACCTGGGAGCACTGGACAGCTGTTTTGTCCTAGTTTGGACTCCTCAGCAGTGCCCACTCACGACCGCGCCAGGGATCTAACGCAGGACCTTCAGATTCCGTGGCTAATGAGCCACTGGATCAGAATCCAGTGCTTTTATATTTCCAACTTCTGTCAGTGTACGATATAGTGCGACTGTCACCCAATGTCATCGTTGAGTATTTATCCTCACTTCCACCGGGTTCGTCTCTTCGGTCACGACTTCTCTTTGGAACTTCAGGAATCACCTCTGGAAGCTAGTCACTAATGTGTACTAGACCATTGAATTCCTACCCAGTGGCTCATTGGTGACGTGCTGACCACGACTCCTGGCTCGATGCAGCCGTGGGTGCTCACTACTGAGTTGTCCCATCCTAGTGGGACGAAATGGATGTCCAGTGCTCTCAGGTTCCCAATGTTCCACCAACTGACGTCAGTTCACGTTGAATACCAACTTGAAATCAATAAAAGATCCCCAAAAACCCCCAAATCAAACTGTAAATATACCGTAGAATGGCACAAACTGACGTTCCTCATTGCCAAAAGCTAAAAGTATTACCAGCATAAAGGGAGAAGTAAAAACAGAAAAGATGATGTGATTGGGTATAACAGCATAAAGTATTATCTGCTTAGAGTGAGACCAAATGTGAATTGAAACTATTTCATTAGACCTGTTTCGACCTTTACTCACCTTACGTTTTCAGTTACCCACTATCATCAAACTAGTTGTCAATATCTTCGCGGAATGGACGTCGTTACATGATCTCAACCCCCCAAGTTGTAATTCACAATGGGAAGCTCAGTGAAGCCTTCCAAGTGAAGTGAAGACAGGAGTAAGACTAGACAAGGCTGCCACCTACTATCACCCATGATATTCGTGATTGTGTTGTGGTCGACTGGATTGGATCATGTAAGAAACAGTGAGGAGCTGTGAGAAGATGGGGTGGAGGATACGCTGTGTGTAGCGGGTAAAAGAACCTAGAAGACTTTGATTTCGCCAACGATGACTTGTGTCTGATATCACACAAACTTGAAGATATACAGGTGAAAAGTAAGAAGTTGACAGAAGAGGCAGGGCAGGGCAGGGCAGGGTATGGCAGAGCAGGGCAGGGCAGGGTAGCGAAGATGGGACTTCAAGTGAATGTAGAGAAGACATAGGTGATGAAGATACCCAACTAACAACAGCAACAACACCAACAACAAACTCCAATGACCGTGAATGGGAGAAAGCTGAGGGAAGTAGCCTCCTTCACCTACACCTATCTAGGTATGAGTGTTTCAAGTACAGGTGGGAGAGGGACACACGAGGACGTGAAAGCCAGACAGGAAGACAGGCATTGATTAGCGTGAAACCAGTGTGGAGATGTTGTGCAGTGCACTGAGGATGTGGAAGGAGATGCTGATTTTTGAGAGTCATCGAGTGAAGTCAGTGTTTGTATATGATAGTTGAGAGAGAGACTTGTGGCGTTACGAAAGGGATTTGCAACAAACTAGGGACATGATCAACAACTGCGGCCTACACTGGTTGGTTACTGAAGATGAGACCAGATGGCGAGAATAATGAGAATGTGGAAGAAGGAACTGTGGCTGGCTGGCTGGCTGGCAAGGAATCAATGAAGGAAGAAGGTATTGCTGAATAAATATGCAGTGTAAGGAAGTGTAGATGGATTGGGGATAGACTGAGAAGGTGGACTGTGGACATCGAGTGTGAGGCGAGTTGCTGTAGTGAAAGGTAGATGGGAAGTGAGGAGTTTGGCGTGCGAGGATAGGGTGACATGGAGGAGATCGTGCGAGGAGGAAATGAGAGGTTGTGGGCAGTGGTGGAGCCAGGTTGAAAAGATTTGAGAGGATAGAGTGTAATGGAGACGTGTTAGTGAAGCTCTATGTTGCATTAGGAACCTAAGGGATAAATAATATAACAATAATAATAATAATAATGATCGAGCTGGAACACCTGAAGAAGAAGACGATGTGATGTGTACAACACTAGATAGATAATGAGAAATGAAAGTAATGTAGGTGTACCACTGTCAAAAATAGAAGAAGACATGTAAGCGCGAACAATACTGTTTATAATTACCTCTCATCAACCTTTGCTTTAATAATCTCAGTTTTAGTTATGTTCCACAAATGGGTTAATTGACGGTTCTACACAACCTCAACACAAACAAGTTGTTAAGAATAATGTCCAAGATGTATTCAATGTCATCTTCATCATTTATGCGAAGGTGAATATGATACCTGTTTATCTATTTGCTTTATTCACGAAAGTGACATGGAGGAGATGGTGTGAGGAGGGGATGAGATGTTGTGGGCAGTGGTGGAGCCAGGTTGAAAAGATTTGAGAGAAGAGAGTGTAATGGAGATGTGCTAGTGAAGCCCTATGTTCCATTGGTAACCTAAGGGGCAAATGATAATGATAATAATAACTATAATAACCCCCCAAGTCATCACTTGAATACTCGTACCGGATACATCCATTTCTTTGATATCATGAGTGGTCATATACTATAAGATATCAGAAACCAATTATACCCAGTTGAAGTTGTTTATACAGTACAAAGTTAACTGAGTAAGCATAATTTGAATACTTGAAGTAACCACTTTTCACTTTGTTGATTATCATTTATTTTTTGTTCTATCTAACTACAGATTTTGCGCTGAAAGACTACGTTCTCTACTGCACACATTGGAGTTGGCAGATTACTCAAACTTTTCTAGTTTAACATTGTTGTGCAATTTCGCTACACTGGTGTCAACATATACCAGAGGTGAATATAAAAAAGTACTACTTATTCATATGATCAGTAGTATATATTTTCAATGAAATTTTATTTTACCTATGTGATACATACTACTATTTATTTGTATGTTATATTTTTTTGAACAAAGATTGTGATAAAGTTTTGTCATTCACTATGTGCAGTATTGCTTAGGTTATATGTGGAATATTAGGCGGGATGAGCGGTTTCGTGGACGAGATTTGAGTGGATTTGTATGAACTTGAGTAGTTGGGAGAGGTATTGCACCCGTTTAACTACTATCTACCTCTACACTGTCTTTGATATTGGTAGGAGTAGTCTGAGATATACCATTAGTCAGGGCTATTGCTGTTATCCATCTACGGAAATTCAGGTTTCATGATGTCATTCATTACTCTGAATGGAATTTTTGGCAGAAGTATTGTTTAGAATTAGAAAGGGACTCATCTATGCTTCTGATGGATGTTAGTTAATTGGAGGCAGTGAACAGAAAGCCCGAGACTTGAATTTTATTTTATTTTTTTTCAGCTTTCGTTAGCAAGGCGTATCTGCGACCTTGAAGGGGTTGGTATCTGCCTAAGATTCGAACCCTTGTCATCCTGTAGGACTGGAATAGATACATTGATTAGTTACTGGAAACCAACCAACCTAATAATCAACTGAATTCTTTCTAGCGATCAGTAGAGGAGTGGCAATAAGGACGTAACCTTAGCCAAGCAGGGCTCCCAACCGATTGCCTCCAACCAACAAACATCTATCATAGTGCATCACGATGCTGGTCCACTAGAGTGTAGCATTCACTGGAAAATGATATGGAGGGGTTAGTACTTAACGTTTAAAAGCTTCTGCCTAATTAACTAAACGTGAGCTTTTGTGAGAATGTATTATTGAAAGACAAAAAGATTGTGCTCCTATTTAAAACTGCAAAAACAACTTCAGCTACTTTATATATCTCATTAAGTTCTTGAAAAAAGAGGAGTATACCACATGAAAAGGAGGTTTACAAAGGAAATGATCATTTATGTGATACGAATATCAAGTAGGTATGGTGCCCGAGTAACTATTAACCCCTCACTGTCTCATCTTTCCTGAAAAACTTCACTACTTTTATTCGGTACTGACTCACATACAACAACTTTCTTTTCTAATCTGTCATCTCATTCAGTTGTGAACATTCCTCACTTTCCTTCATGTAACATGGATCCGATTGGATTGAGTTTATTGACTAAACTTTTATACTCTGAATTATTATTATTATTATTAGTCCCTTGGGTTCCTAGTGGAACATAGGGCTTCAGTAGCACGTCTCCAGTGACCTCTGCTCTCTGAGACTTTTGAACCTGGTTCCACGACAGCCCAGAAGCTCTCATTTCTTCCTCGCACGACCTCCTCCATATCACCCTCGGCACCGACGCCCAACTAGTCGCTTCCCATGGGGATTCCACTCGAGCAACTGGCCTGACGCATGATGTCCCCAGTCGGCCTTCTCAGTGCATGACCAATCCATCTCCATTTCCTCCTGCATATTTGTTGCGTGATAGGTTCTTGGTTGGTTCGTTCCTAGAGCACCTTGTTGCTTATTCTTTCTGGCAATCCATCTGATCTTCAGTAGCGAGGCAGCGTAGGTGGCAGTTGTTGATGAATGTCTGTAGTTTATTGGAAATGCCTTTCGTGACGCGCCAAGTCTCTGAGCCATACAGAAGCACTGACTTGACTGGGTTGGTGTTGAAAATCCGGATGTTGTTCCACATGGTGAGTTGGGTGCAGAAGATCTCCACACTGGTTTCAGATTAATGAACGCCTGTCTTGCTGTCTTTCCGATTCTGACTTTGACATCCTCGTCTGTGCCTGTGCCACCTGTAGTTGAAACAGTGCTCCTTAGATGGGTGAAGGAGGTTACTTCCTTTAAGTTTCTCCCGTTGATGGTGATTGGAGTTTGTTGTTGTTGTTGGTGCGGTATCTTCATCACTTCTGTCTTCTCTAGATTCACTTGAAGTCCTGTCTTCGCTGCCTCTTCTGTCAACTTGTTAGTTTTTGCCAGTAGATCTTCAAGTTTATGTGACATCAGACACAAGTCATCGGCGAAATCCAAATCTTCTAGGTTCTTTTCTGCAGTCCAGTGTATCCCCTCTTCTCACAGCTCCCCACTGTTTGCAGCATGATCCAGTCCAGTCGACCACAATCAGGAATATCATGGGGGATAGTAAGCAACCTTGTTTCACTCCTGTCTTCACTTGGAAGGCATTACTGAGCTTGCCATTGTGAATTACTTGGCATGTAGCATCTTCATATAGCTGCTGTTGAATGAGGCTGATAAAGGTTTGCGGTATTCCGTAGTAATGAAGCAGTTTCCAAATTACTTGTCGGTCGACACTGTCAAAGGCCTTCTCGAAGTCGATAAAGTTGAGGTAGAGAGCTGATTGCCATTCTATGCTCTGTTCTATGATGATGCGAAGCGTTGCAGTTCGGTCTGCACATGATTTGTACTTCCTGAAGCCCGCCTGTTCGGGTGGTAGTTTTGAATCCAGTGCATCCTTTAGCCTCTCCAGGATGATGCGGCACTCTGAATTATAGTGCGCTTTTTTTTATACTAATCTCCAAAACGCTAACGGATATTGCATTTCCTGTTGTTATACTGGATCAAAACGATTGACCTCTGTTGGCATAGAGACTGTTGTGTGGACGCCTCGATATTGCCTGATTACTGATGATGTAATAGTCAGCTTAATGTCTCAGGGGCCTAGCGGATAACGCCTTGGCGTTTGAACCGGTAGATACTCGGTTTCAACCTCATTAGGAGTAATACCACTCGTTGGAGTGTAGGTGTACGTCCAACTGGTGAGTCCGAATTAGGACGAAACATGCATCTGGATTCTTCTGCCGGTCACCACCCATCTGATTACAACACTATTTAACATGTTAAAATGCTGCCTGTATATAGAGCATGTAAGTATTGGTCACAGTGGTTGTTTGTTTATTTATTCGTTGTATATACGGTTGATGAAAATCCGGCAAATTAGACTGACGTCACCTTATTTATCATTCTAACCCGTATGGCCAAGAAGGAAATTCATGAAAATATCACCTATTCAGTTGTGTTAATATCACATGTACATGGAATATTTTATGTGATATCCTCATGAAAATCTGGTTTCCATCAGATCTCAGGAAATGGTTCTGGTGGACCCGCCAAAGCTTTGGCATCAGTGATAAAATCTTTGACTGCCAGTCTAGGTCATAAAGGGAAATGCAGACTGTCCAGTCTGGATGATTTAGACAACAAAAACCAATGGACTCAGAATCGATCTGATTGGCGCAAATACATCTCCACATTATCTTCATCCTAAATGTCATACTAATTTTCAGTATTCTCTCATCCTTCTTTGGTTTCTTTTCACAACTTTCTATCCATTTTGACTGCTTAATTTTTTATTTTTCAAGTTGATACATTTGCACTTGTTGTGGTGATATGAAGTCTAGGAACTAGGAGAGTTATGCCACACTGTCTAGTTGTATGTTGACTTTGTTTGTCTGTGCATCAGGAGACGGGAAGAGGTTACGTAGTATGACAGACTGTAGTCATTTACAAATTTGTGAGATGTTACACAATAAGGTACACCGTGAAATTTATTTGCCTATGCTAATCAGACCAGTATAGAATGGCAGTCAAATCTCTACCTCAACTCCATCCACTTTGAGAAGGCCTTTGACAGTGTCGACCGAGAGTTAATTTGGAAACTGCTTCAATACTACGGAATACCGCAAACCTTTATCAGCCTCATTCAACAGCAGCTATATGAAGATGCCACGTGCCAAGTAATTCACAATGGGAAGCTCAGTGATGCCTTCCAAGTGAAGTGAAGACAAGAGTAAGACTAGACAAGGCTGCCACCTACTATCACCCATGATATTCGTGATTGTGTTGTGGTCGACTGGACTGGATGATGCAATAAACAGTGAGGAGCTGTGAGAAGATGGGGTGGAGGATACGCTGGGTGTACCGGGGAAAAGAACCTAGAAGTTTGGATTTCACCAACGATGACTTGTGTCTGATTTCTCACAAACTTGAAGATGTACAGGTGAAAAGTAAGAAGTTGACAGAAGAGGCAGGGTATGGCAGGGCAGGGCAGGGTAGCGAAGACGGGACTTCAAGTGAATGTAGAGAAGACATAGGTGATGAAGATACCCAACTAACAACAGCAACAACAACACCAACAACAAACTCCAATGACCGTGAATGGGAGAAAGTTAAAGGAAGTAGCCTCCTTCACCTACACCTATCTAGGCATGAGTGTTTCAAGTACAGGTGGGAGAGGGACACACGAGGACGTGAAAGCCAGACAGGATGGGAAAGACAGGAAGACAGGCATTGATTAGCGTGAAACCAGTGTGGAGATGTTGTGCAGTGCAGTCAGGATGTGGAAGGAGATGCTGATTTTCAACAGTAATTCAGTGAAGTCAGTGTTTGTATATGATAGTTGAGAGAGAGACTTGTGGCGTTACGAAAAGGATTTGCAACGAACTAGGGACATTGATCAACAACTGCGGCCTACACTAGCTCGTTAGTGAAGATCAGCTCAGATGGCGAGAATAATGAGAATGTGGAAGAAGAAACTCTGTCTGTCTGTCTGTCTGGCTGGCTGGCTGGCTGGCTGGCAAGGAATCAAGGAAGGAAGAAGGTATTGCTGAAGAAATATGCAGTGTAAAGAAGTGTAGATGGATTGGGGATATACTGAAAAGGTGGACTGTGGACATCGAGTGTCAGACGAGTTGCTGGAGTGGAAGGTAGATGGGAGGTGAGGAGTTGGGCGTGCTAGGATAAGGTGACATGGAGGAGATGGTGTGAGGAGGGGATGAGATGTTGTGGGTAGTGGTGGAGCCAGGTTGAAAGGATTTGAGAGAAGAGAGTGTAATCGAGATGTGCTAATGAAACCCTATGTTCTATTTGTAATCTAAGGGACAAATGATAATAATGATAATTCTAATAATAATGAGACGAAGTGTTTAAA